TTTATTGTGTGAAACAGTGTTTCCAAAGCTCAGCAACTTCCAGATGTGTAGACTACACCTCTAGAATATTCAGCAATAGCTGACTGCAGAAATAAGAAAGCTAAAGGCCACATATCAGGAAATCACCTATATTGGGAAAACTCTGACAAGCGGACTTAGTAACTAGAGTTGCCATTCTTAATTCCTAAACATTAAATTTTGCAATAAACAAAGTGTTTCTCAAACATAAATCCAGCCATATGAAATCAAATGATTGAAGATATTCTATTTTTGTGTGTGAGATAAATAGCTGTCATCCATAAGAAACCTATATTAAGAGAAATGAAACAGAAATCTCACAGGGGACCAGTGGTTGAGTCAAAATGAGAATTTAAAGATCACATATATAGCAATAGCACTTAGACTTACATACCGCTTCATAGTGCTTTTACAGCCCTCTCTAAGCGGTTTACAGAGTCAGCATATTGCATCCAACAATCTGGGTTCTCATTTTACCAACCTCAGAAAGATGGAAGGCTGAGTCAGTCAACCTTGAGTCTGGTGAGATTTGAACTGCCAAATTGCAGGCAGCCGGCAGTCAGCAGAAGTAGTACTGCATTCTAATCTTGGCAAAACTTTTGTCAGTTAAGATATCCACTATATAAGTTAACAGTATACCAGATCACAGCACTGGAGCATGCATATATCAAAAACATGCATATATACATATACAGTATTTACAGTGTGTGTGTCTGTGTCCGTGTGTGCGTGTGTATTTATTCTTCACATTTTTTGAAGGGACAAGCATGAAATGCATTTTTACCTGTTTTCTAGTCCTTGTCTTCCCTGTCCGTAGCTTGATGTATCTTGCTATCAGTTCATTGCGTCCTAAAGCAGAAAAGGCAAAGATGTAATATGATGAATGCAGAGCCTCTCTTGTCCCACTTCTTAGAAATAAAAGACTGCCCTCTGATCTACCTTCCTTACATCCTTCAAGCTGACAAACAACTAAATTCCTGTTCCTAACTCAGTTATGACATTTTACCAGAAGATGGCACTAACGCAACTCTTCTCTAAATGAACAAGATGGCCTGAAAAAAAACTCTGCTTGAGGCTCTGGTTGTTTATGCATTGAACCAGATATCCATAGTGCATATCTGTCCATAATGTTGTCAAAAAAAGAAAACAACCTGATTCTTAAGCTGGACACTCAGAAAACAATGCAAACATGGGACACATAGAGATTTACCTAGGAAGCCATTGTTCCCTTTAAACAAATTATAGGATTTCTGAGGACCAGGATTTGTAGCCTAATCTGGGAACCCAGAATATTTCTTGCCCTATTCTGCCATGTTTAATTCAGCTATCACAGCATGCTTGGACCATCCTTCCCTCTTTCCTAGTTTCATGCATGACTCCATGGAACTTTCATAATAGAGAAGAAAAGAGGATGTTAAAAAAAAAGCTGCAAAATATGAAGGTATGGATACTCAAGAGTTTGAGGTCTGATATGTGACAGTCAACAGGATGTGCAACCTACTGGGATGTTTTAAGTGGCACTGGCTTCTGAAAGGAGCCCTTCCCAACCTCCTCTTTGTCCTAATTTGAAGCAGAAGAGCTTTTGCTCCACATTTTACAGGCCAGCTGTGGCCAATCTAAATTCAAACGTCAGAGCAGCTGGGAGCTTTCTTTTCCCTCGTCTCCCTCCCCCCTCTTCAACATGGAAGAAGAATAGTTTGGGGAAGCATGCCAGATTTATTTTGATGGACCAGATGGTATTGGCTAAAGCTGGCTGAAATGCCCTTGCAGCTAACTTAGAACAGAGAGAGAGACAGAGAAGTTTAAGGCTGAAGCAAGTGTGGTTTTTCTGGCAAAGCCAGAGTCCTGTTTTCCTTTCAAGGAAAGCTTTGGTTTTCAGCCTTGGGGACAGAAGTCTTAAATGAGGTCACATCACAGTCCCTCAACCATGTCTCTTCTCTTCTCTCCCCTCCCCATCACCATAGTTTTTTACAGACAAGACCAGGTGCTGCGTCCAGTCAAACAGCCCCATATCAGAGGGAAAGAGAAGGATGATACCGAATACTAGAGTAACAATACCTTCATAAAAGCCATCTGGCTCAGCGCATATCCCTTGATATACGCAGTTCCTGTCATTGGTTTTTTTTAAAAAAAATAACAGAAGACTAGCTCTATTTCATTTGGTGGCTGAGAAAGAAAGTCAGTTGGACTACATGTAATATAAGAGTTGGTTCCACTTAGGAGTTGTCCGCATGCATACACATTTCTATTGGGGCCTATTCAAAGTTTTACCCAGCGTTCCGCAGCCTGGTATTACTACTGTACTCTACTCATGTACAGTTCTGTGAAAAAAAATATTTGCCCTTTTTACATTTTCTGATTTTTTCACCACTAAATATTATCATAGTTTAATGTTAATTCTCTTAATATATGAAGGGAACCTAAATGAACAAATAGTTGATGATGATTTAAATGAAGTTAAGCACAAAAGCCATCTAACATGCAAAATGACAGTGCGGGGGGAAAAAAGAATTGCCTTCTTGGATTTAATGACTGGTTGTACTAGTTTATCTGCAATAACTGCAATCAAATGCTTCCTGTAATTATCAAGTCTCTCACATTGTTGTGTAGGAATTTGGATNTTATCTGCAGTACTGCACTCTAACCACTGCACCACTGTGGCTCTATGAATACTCTTCCCATTTTAGTCTTACAATAACCTTGGGACGCAGGCCAGGTTCACTGTGTGTACACAACTTGCCTTTTAATGAACTAGCATATCCACTCAGAAGCCAGTTGCACTGAGTTCAGAATAACCACAGATGCCAGTATAACATCAAGTTTCAACTTGAGGAATAATTTGAAAATTGATCTTCCGTGTTTCACTTGGGCACATGGAAGAGCTTTGTCACTGGCGACAACATTCACAGCAAGTAGCTAAGGTTTACTCTGAATACAGAGCTTAAAGGGAAATTTGTCCTTTCCTTGCTTACAAATAAGAAAAAGTTAAAATGTGCTGTAAATAGTGGCATTTCTTGACAAAAATATTCCTTGACATCAATGGACTAGCACATCAACCTCATTTCTGGGTTAATGTATTTTCTAACTTTTGTGGAAGATTTCCTACAGGGTCAGAATGAAGATAAAGATGCTCTAGAATTATATCCAATTACTGCATGAAATACACTTCTATATCTTTTTACTGTTCTATGCCAGTCTTCAACTGGAAGTATTTACTGAATTCTATGGAAACCAGGGCTTTGACAATGTAAATATAAGGAATGTAGTCTGTTTGTAAATAGTCAAGATTCTCTTTCTTTTTGGGTCAAAAGATGCAGAGACAACCATTGGCAACTTTCCCAATCCTATTTAAATATATATTCTATCTTGGGGAATCTAGAAAGGGAAGAGAGAGGCCATTTTGTAAATTTTTTCAGTTCTTTCCAAGACATTCAGTATATTCACCAACAAAAATGAAAAGATAATCCAGATCAGTTTAGAATACGCTCTGGCTTCCTTTAGAACCATCCCATCTTCTGCTCCATCTTCAGAATTTTATTCAGCAAATCACAGTACACAGAACACACAGAGGGAAAGGGATCAAGTTAGTCAATCTCCAGTTACAGAATAAGGAGAAAAAAAGCCAACCACAGAAGAAAAGGAAAGGCAATCACAGGATAAAGCTCTCCAGTTACATCCTTGCCCAGCTCCCTTAGTTCCTGGTTTCGTGAACTTGTTCTACATATCCTGATTCAGCCACAGCTATCTTATGTCCCTTTCTGGTTCTGTGCATCTCGGTTGCAACCACGGCATAGGCCTCCTTGCCAAATAACGTATTAGGTTCTTAAACACATCACACAATAGTTTCCGTAAGAGAGTTAGAGAAACAACTGTTTCCTTTGTTTCTTTCTGTACCTGCCATGGTAAAAAGTAAATTAACTCAAGCCTAACCCACTCGCATTAATAACTTAATAACTAAATTCAAGCTAATAACTTAATAACCGCATATTGCCATTATAGATAATTGTTATATAATTAATAATAATAGCAGGGCTCAACGCTCCCTCCTATTTAACTTTAACACGCAATTGCTGGTTAAGATTATCCACTGTCTGGAGTTGGGCATCATCAATATGCAGATGATGCTCAATTGTACATCCTGAACAGAGTGGCTTATGCCTTTTGTCACTTCATCACTGGATTACGGCAGTGTATTTTCTACTTGGGAGGTGTCCTCCCAGAAGCTACGGTTGGTCCAGAAGACAGGTAGCCCCNCCTTAAGAATAGAAATAATTATAAATTTTATGCTATATATTAAAGAATAGCAATGTGTTCTAACATTAATATTTGGTATTTTAAGAATACACTGCTTGCACGCAGACAATTGTGTGAATCATTACATCTTCTGCATTGTTTTTAAATTTTCTTTGTCTCTCTCCTTAAAGTTTAAAGACTAACTGGCTGTGAAGTCATTTCTCCTTTCAGTCCCTCTTTTAAAGATGCCTTGAAACATCATTAGCAATTCCGAACTGAAGCTGAGAGAGGTTTATCAATATAAACTTGATATCAAACCAGTCTCAACATCTCAATCCTGAACTTACAGGGACAGAATTAAAGATCAAATAGATTCCAATGTCACAACTCAGCTACAAAAGGAGGATTTATTTTCTGAATATTCTCTCTCACCCCAAGGCACAAGTTGCTAGCAGTGGTGCCTAATGAGTTTGGCTAATTCCAGAGTCTGAAAAAGGTCATTTTGTCATGAAGTGGGATATATACAGGGCTTCATTGTTAATCACTTTGTAAGTCTGTTGCAAGTGAATATACTTTTGTTCATCATATAACATTTCAAAACAAATCAGAAATGCAGAATTGTGGACAACTATCTATTAAAGCAGGCTACAAAAGCCTTGTTTCGGTATAAGAACACACACATACAGCCCCAGTTACGGGCATTCAGAGGCACATGCAGAAACAACATGGCTTAGCAATGTAACTGCATTGCTGCACACTCAAGGCACAGCATTTCCTTCCAAGTATCCTCCTGATATCAAAATTAAAGTACCAGCAACAACACGATTAATTATGGGCATGCATCCTATAAAAAAGTTGTCAAGTATATCTCAAACCGTAGGGTTACAACGGCAATTTAAAAAAAAAAACCAATTGAGATACTGGATCTATTGTTCGATATGTATTCAAAAGATTAAATAATAATTGTTATTATGAAGCAATTCATAATTCTCACTTATCTTTTGTGTAAGGAGCTTCCATTGTAGTATAGCAATAGCACTTAGACTTATATACCGTTTCATAGTGCTTTTACAGCCCCCTCTAAGGGGTTTACAGAGTCCGCAAACCCCCCCCCCCAAACAATCTGGGTCCTCATTTTACCCACCTCGGAAGGATGGAAGGCTGAGTTAACCTTGAGCCGGTAAGATTTGAACTGCTGAACTGCAGCTAGCAGTCAGCTGAAGTTATCTGCAGTACTGCACTCTAACCACTGCACCACTGTGGCTCTATGAATACTCTTCCCATTTTAGTCTTACAATAACCTTGGGACGCAGGCCAGGTTCACTGTGTGTACACAACTTGCCTTTTAATGAACTAGCATATCCACTCAGAAGCCAGTTGCACTGAGTTCAGAATAACCACAGATGCCAGTATAACATCAAGTTTCAACTTGAGGAATAATTTGAAAATTGATCTTCCGTGTTTCACTTGGGCACATGGAAGAGCTTTGTCACTGGCGACAACATTCACAGCAAGTAGCTAAGGTTTACTCTGAATACAGAGCTTAAAGGGAAATTTGTCCTTTCCTTGCTTACAAATAAGAAAAAGTTAAAATGTGCTGTAAATAGTGGCATTTC